CCTTTACTCATTTTTATTTATCAGTTATAATTTTTATTTTGTAATATATTTGAAATAAAAATATTTATTATAAATTTTTAAAATAAATTCTAATACTAATTTTAACTATTTAAATATGATTATATAATATTTTTAATATATAATTTTCTGCAATAATTAAGATAAATTATATTAATAGTTTATTATAATTTTGACTTTAACATTTCATAATTACTAAAACTTATAAATTTTAAAACAAAAAGCTTTTTATTTATTATTAAATTAAAAATATACTAAAATAATATAAAAGCTATATTAAAGATATACTTATTTAATATAAAAAATTGTAAATATCATATAACTTTATAATAATTATTCTCTTTTAGTTTTCATGTAGTCAATCATAAATTTTGTTGAAATTGTTAAATTTGAACTACATATCGATATAGCATTATAATTTTGGACTAATCATGTAAAAAATACCTAACATTAAATGTTTATAAAATTCTGTTAATATTACTGGTTTAATTTTTAAATTCTATTTGTTAAGCTTTCTTATTATGTCATAGTTTAACGAGAATGATGTGTAACTGTTCGGAACCACTGTCTCCAAATATTTTCCATATTAATAATTAATTCGTTACGGAATAAGTGTCTAGAACCTTTTGAAGGAACCACAATTTAGAATTGCAAATAAGGATCTACTTAAAATAATTTCTTTGTGGCGGAATAGAGGCGTAACCAACTTTCAATAAAGAAATTTGGTCAGTTATATTGTCAAAAAGTGATGATCTGCATTATGCTTGGTTCATTCGGGATTCCTATCATTTTAACATTGAATAAAAATTTTCTTTATATAGTTATTTCAACAGCAGAATTAGAACGCATTCAAAATTTTTCATTGGCGTGAAAATAAAAATGAGTAAAGGGAAAAATACGCCAGAACACGAGAACGTCTTGGCCGAGTTGCTACCCGACGAGGACATCGTTGATTATGAACTAGAAGATGAATCATACCATGAAAAACTAGATGATTTCGAAGATACGACAACTTCCGTCATGGTCTCTGAAAAACTGGAGAATAACAAAAAAGAAATGCCGCTCTTTATTAAAGGTTTAGAGGACAACAAAAAGAACTTGCCAATCAAAACTAAAAATTTAGGAGATAACAAAAAAGACATACTAAATATTACTAAAGATTATAATAAAAAGGACAAATTTACTACACTTACCCAATCATCAAATGAGGTAAGCAAGAAACCTACGGAAGAAGATCGTAGAAGACGTAAAGCCGAATCTGATGACGATATTGAACCAAGAAGCTCTCGGCAATCAAAGAGAGCGAGACAAAGTGTAAAACCTCAAGTCGGGCCTACCAAGAAAGATGTCGAAGCATCTCAACGTGAATCACACAAACCAAGACATGCCTCAAGCAGGCAGGATCAGTTCGATGTTGACCGCTTTCGCACTCCGCAGACACCTGATGGCTCCCCGCGATCTAAACGTTATAACTCATCTAATGATTATTCACGAGTCCGAGAAAATGCTCACATTTCCATCAATCATCGTGCTCGCGCCCATGAAAATTTCACTCGAAGCAGAATTTTTCGATATGAAGATAATCAAAAAGGTCGAGTTGATAAACCTTTTAATCCTCCTCCCCAAAGTAGTTCTTCCGGAAAAATCATCTCATCGGATAAACGGGAAATCGAAAATGGACATAAGGATCGATTACAAAAACAAAGCACTTTTGATAATCATGAGATTACTAAAAATCCGCCAAAAACATTGGCCAAGGGGGAAATTGGAACTATACTTCCCAGTACAAATTTGCATAGTTCAAGATCTAGTAATGACGCAATCCTAAAGGTAGGCATAGGGCCACTTTTCCGTTTCTTAACCTCGGCTTCATCTGAAGCTATTTTTTTGATATTTGCATAATGATGGACTATATTGCTCGTATTGGGAGACCCATCTTGGACATTTTATATTATCAAAATTCTGGTTGTTTTTCGTTTGATTATTTTGCATTCTTGCTTGTCATGGGACAATTTTTGGATAATGCTTGCTGAGATTTCTTTATATGTGAGACATTTGATGCGATAAAAAAAGAAAAATCGCTAGCACTACTGACTGATTAGGATTAAGGTTTTCGTAAAATGCTTGTGGGACTCTAAAGGAGTGCGCATAACCACAGTCATTTGGACATTCGGCTATAAGTTTATATAATACGAGCACTTTTTCTTCCAACAAAAACATTCTGTTCCCAACAAATACCTGTCTTTTTTACAACAAGGATTCGCGGCAAAAGAACATCAAAACATCCGGACATATCCCAAGTGATACTTCGAAGAAAACCCATCCCCGACCTGAAGAGGATTCACGT